TGGGCCGGCAGAGCAGCCACTTCGCGCGCGGCCTCTGGAGCTCCAGCTGCGCCCTGCCACCACTGGCCGCACGCACCACCCGCCTTTCTCGCACGCTAAGTAAGTAGACAGCTCCCCTAGCTGGACTCAGGGGCTGGTGATGCCTCTGCCAACCTAGTTGGGAACAGTGCAGATTTGTGACTAATTGGATAGTAGGTGTAAGTGTGTCAGTGGGAGTGCTTGTGAAGGGGAGCTTGTGCCAGTGTGAGGGAGTGTGTCTGGGTGGGATGTCCACATGTGGAATTTTCTAGCATGTGCCCTAGGGTGTGAGTGTGGGTGAACGAGTGTTTCAGAGTGTGTGTGGTGGCCTGGAGTGGGCCACAGGTGTCTGTCTGTGTGGCACCTGCTGCCCTGGGTGGACTGTGTCTGTACCTGTGGAAATGCCTGTGTGTGTGGCAGGAAGGCCTCCAGGTGAGCTGAGCCAGTCTGCATGTGGATGAGTGGATGTGCCAGAGTGAACCCAGGAAGGCAGAAGCTGGGGCTAGGGAGTGTTATCTGAACTCAGGCTTTCTAAGGTGACCTGACTTGTCCCCAGCTGGGGTGTCTTCTCTGTGGGTCATTCGGCTTTGGTTTCTCAGGGCTTGGAGCAGGGCAGAAGCTCAGCCCTCACACAACACTGGAGTGAATGTGACTCTGACTGACCCAATCTGGCTAGACCAGGGTCAGGGAGACAGCTTGCGGGACCCCACTCTTAAACCAGGAGAAGAGGCAGGAAGTCAGGGGATGAATACACAGGATGGCCATGGCCACCCACAAACACTCACAGTGCACCCACGCTCACATGCTCAGCATACACGCATTCCTGTCCATTGCACCAGTCTTGCGCATACTCTTCTTAGGATAGCCACGCAACCATTCACATACTTTCAACATGTATACCTGTGGACAGCGACATGTATGCAACATGTACCCGCTTTGTTCAATGAATATGCACAAATGTATCCCTGGTGTGGCCCCACCCTCAGCCTCTAGCCTCCTCCAACTTTTGCCCCTTTTAACCTATATTTTGTACCTCTGACAATGGGTCCAAGAAACTGGCCTCAGTGGGGAATATTTTAAGTCAGGGACTTTGGCTGCAGGGGTCAGGGCAGACGGTGATATGGTGCCTTTGAGGGGTTCCGTTTAATCTGAAACTGAGGCTGTCCATGGAGCTCAGCCAGAGAGCATCTTGTCCCTTAAGCTCTGGGACTTAGAAGCAGTGTTTGCCCTTTTAGAAGTGAAAACTTGCAAACACTGCCTTTGGAAGGCAAGCCAGGTCAGGCTGGGATCTGAGACAGAGCTCTGCATATGTAATTTGCTCCATGCTGTAGTTTATACTCTGGATTATACCTGCTGCAGGAAAGCAGCGACCCTTCTGGGCTGGGTCCCAGGGCAACCATTTGGCAGGGAGGACAGTGAACTGAGCTAGGCTGATTCCTTTTTTTCTTTGGTTTCATTCAACCCTACTTCGAGTCTCTCTCCCACAGGCTGGTGGGGGGGTGGCATTTGCTCTCTCCTCTACTTTCTTCCAGTAGTTATCTTTTTTTTTGGACAGAAACTCCTCCATGACCTCCTCGCCGCGGTGACCACTGGGCACACACCATACAGCGCTTGGAAGAGTAGGTGCCCTAAAATACCAGCTGAATGGTGGTGTTATTCTTCTTAGTAGAGTTTCTAGAGCTGTCCTATCATAGCTATTCCCTTCTGAATACTTTATTGAGGTACTCAGACTAAATGTGCTCCTTCAGTTGGGAAGTTAGAAAGACGGTATTGAGTTTCTCTCTCTCTCTCTCTCCCTCTCTCCCTCCCTCCCTCCCTCCCTCCTTCCCTCTTTCCTTTTCTCCCTTTCTTTCTTTTCTCCCTTCCCTTCCCTTCCCTTCCCTTCCCTTCCCTTCCATTGACTGAGTCTCACTCTATTGCCCAGGTTGGAGTGCAGTGGCATGATCTCAGCTCATTGCAACCTCCACCTCCCGAATTCAAGTGATTCTCCTGCCTCAGCCTCCTAAGTAGCTGGGATTACAGACGCCTGCCACCACGCCTGGCTAATTTTTGTATTTTTAGTAGAGATGAGGTTTCTCCATGTTGGCCAGGCTGGTCTCGAATTTCTGACCTCAAGTTGTCTGCCTGCCTAGGCCTCCCAAAGTGCTGGGATAACAGGTGTGAGGCACCACGCCCGGCCTGAGTTTCTTCTGTCTTAATGCCTATGGTTTGGTCTAAGGGGTGACTAAGCTGTCACCCACCAACTCCTCTAATATGCAGGAGAGCAAGTTGGGTTCAACTGCTTTCTGAGGGGAATGCTGGGATCTATATTTTCTTTGGCCTGATCCTACACCTGACCCTTGGGAGTGGTTAAAAAAGGGCAGGCTGTGGTCAGTCCAGCAGAATAAAGGTGGCGGGGAAGGAATTATTTTCCCGTTGTGCTTCCCTTTTCACTCTGGTTGCTGGGAAGCTCTTAGTCCATCAT